TCTAATGCGTTTCCCTGATTTTTTTTATAACAATCGATTTTATTTATGAAGAAGTTTTTAATCGTGCATGTGAGCTAGTTCAAAAAAGAAGATATTGTCTGATTAGGATCGTGATGTTGCGTTTGACAATTTGTGTACTCAAGATGATTCTCGTTCATATGGAGAAGAATCCAACGATTCATTATAATAAACAATAAGAATTTATTATAATTATTTATAATTTAATTTATTTAATTTAATTATAATTTATTAGACAGGTACCAAAATTTATCAACTTGAATAATCTTTCGTTACATAATCTGTTGGTTCGATAAATATCGGAGTTAAAGAGCATGTCTCTTTTCTAAAATTTAAAAATTAAAGAGTCCAGGAAGCTTAGAGGATAGAAAAAAATAGTCTACTTGATACTTGGTGTAACGGGTTGGTGTCCGCAACTCGACGTCAAGGTGCCTATTTTGCCAATAAATAGTCTAAGTCAGGAAGTATTGCATTTTTTTTGTTTATGGTTGTATGTCAATAATTACGGAACTTCGGTGGCATACATATGTTAAAAGTTAAATAAATGGATGGACAGAGTATAGTAGTTAGTGTATTACCATGTATTACCTACTTATCAACTGTCTGAAGTGTCGAATTTCGAATTTGTGTTTTTTATCTTAATTTTAGTCTTGTTTTATTAGTCTTGACTGACTGTGTTAACAATGCGTATTTTATTCAACTATCAGCGGGGAACTGTTTCTTCTTTCTTTATTTATTTACGAACTTTTGTACAATGTACAGATCATATCAAGCTTGACACTTTGTACTTTGGACCGTTCTTATCGTAAGCGGCATAGAGTTGGATTTAAGTCTTAAGTGACAAGCTTGACGTACTCTTCACCTTTTACATGTCAGTTCCATCGTATCCTAAAATTCAGCTTGTCTGGGCGGTGCTGGATAGCTTACCATTGTTGTTTTAATTTCAATTGTATTACCTATAAGCTGTTTGTACCCTATAAGATAAAATAAACAAATACAATAAATATCAATACAACTATTATTAACTGCTTCCGTGCCCGATCGGTTACCATGCCGGACTGCCACGCAGAAGTCCCAGGCTCGATTCCTGGACCGGGAGAAATATTTGTATGGCCGACATTTATTTCTCTCGTGAGTTTGGGTGTAATTTGTGGTTGTCCAATGCACCCGCGACTTAGGGTTTCCTTAGTGCGCGGCTATGTTGAGTGTGTGCGTTATTATTATTATTATTATCACTTAAGGCCACGCATCTTTTTTTTTACTTTACGAAAATTCATCATAAATGTTTTGAAACTCGCAATAACACTAGAGTCACTAGAGTGTCAAGATAAGAGTAGCATATCGGCAAATACCAAAACATGTATAACAACAGTATCGCTGCAGCAACCGTGATAGGGTCACGTGGTGGCATAACGCGTGACGACGCGTCACGTCGCCATCGTGCGCGATCACGCCGCGACCTTCACCTTGGGCGGCACACGCTCTTGCACCGGTGTATCACGAGCTAATGACTACCGCTGCGTCTTATTTGGTGACAAATGATAACCCAAGTGGAACCAACTGCATCTTACGAGCGACAGTGCTGACTACTAGCACGCAAATTAGGAACTATAATTAAAAATATAATAAAATGAGTCATGTGCAGGGTTCGAAGTGATCATTATCATTCATGACTAATGACTATCATAATTTTTTTGTTATTTATAAAATTTATTGGAACAAAAAATGCTTTATTTTCTTTTTTTTTTGTATGTGACGGGACGAACAAGTCGTGCGCCTGATGGTAAGGTACACGCCTTTCCATAACAGTTGCAGTGAAACTCAAACCTTTAAATCGCAAAGATCTGAGGGGCACTGCGCCAAACACCCTGAGAAATAAGTTCATAAGTCCCATGTGCCTGTAATATCCACCAACACCCTTCAAAACCGGGACACAGTAATGTTAACATTACTGCTTGGCGACAGAAATAGGTAAGGTGGCAGTACTGCCCTGGACGACTCTTTCACAAGGAGCTGTACTGCTACCTTTACCAATGGCGTGCTATGTATTTGTATATTAAAGACTTACTCAAAAGTGTTAAATGTCAATCTCAAAAAAGTCACAAACATAATCGTTTTCGTTAACATTATTCTTCGTGTTTATTTAGTTTTTTCAATGTTTCTCATTTTTAGTCATAAATTAAAGAGACACCAGCTTATATAATTGTCGGATAAGTATTTTGATAATTATCAAAAAAAAAAATCTTCATAATTTTTAATTCTGGTGATCGACGAGTGTCATAAGTTCTTACGAAAAATATTCAATATAAAAAACCTACCTCAAAAGTTCGTGATATTACATCTATTGCCAAGTTTTATGTTTATTCATCCCCTAGTTTGCCACCCTTAAAGGTGGAATATTTTCTTGAAAGTTAAATGGGACCACTACTGAGGTACCCTCTTTCCAACAAAAAAAGAATAATCAAAATCGGTTCACAAATACCGTAGAGAGACCTCAGTGGTCGAGTGGCTTGCATACCGGCTTTCATGGTATCGCCATCTCAGAGGTCCCGAGTTCGATCCCCATCCGGATCAGTGTATTTCCATAACACAAGTGCTTTAGCTACTTGTTTTGGGATCAGATCAACGTCAGTGACGTTATCTAATATATATTTATATATTTCAAAAAACACACAATAAACGTACAGTCAAATTGAGAACTTCCTCCTTTTTTGTAGTCGGTTAATTAGAATGAACGCGAACTAGAACAGTCTAATTGGTTTATACAAAACGATAATCTATAATAAGGATTTATTTTAGATTATTTAGATTTAGGTATGTTGAAATTAGAGACATAGCATATTAACACCTGAATTAAATGGATGTTAAGCTAGAAAAAAACTGATTAATTCAGTGGCACGGGGACAAATTATGATGATTAGCGGTCGTTCCTCTTGCGCAGATCTGAGACGGACGTACACGTGTAGAGGATGCAAATTACTGGCTGCCGGCTATGCGGCCGGCTTTAGGGCTGACACACGATTGGTTTTGAAACCAAAATAGATTAGAGAATTGGCTTAAAACCATTGACGCACGCATGCGACGGATCTATAATAAAAAGAGCATTAATTAAATCAATGCCGTTTTACAAGCAGCAAAATATCTATTTCTGATACGATTTGAACCGATCCCCGCCAAGTGAAGATGTAAGGATCTTGAGTCTGGCTAATGAAGGATATCTCCAACTATGAGCAAATATGTACCTATTTACTCAAAGCTACCCGTAGAGTTTGTTATGCGATCTTAGCCTGTTTAATCACTATACAAATAAGTTTGTAAGCAGTACACGTATTATAGTAGAAATTAAATTATATAGGTGGGTATATAAAATTTTTATTGAATTGATATTCAATTATTTTTTGTGAAATTGCTCCATTAGTTTGTTATAATTATTAATACAAAGATCGAACACACAGAAAAAATTCTTCGAGCCGGCTGGATTCGAACCGACGTCTTCTAGCTTACCGTGGCAGACGCTATTCCTACTAAGCCACGGAACGAACCAGCGGATCTCACGAATTCTATGTGCTTGCGTCGTGTCTTTGTCTTTGGTTTTTTCAACGACTTTTTAGTCTATATAGGTATATATTTCCGCTTTACCCTTTCCATCGTCTGAGGACCAGATGTAGATTGGGGTTCCACCCCTATGTCGTGGACATTCCAAGGATTCGCAGGAAGCGTTACGCTTCCACATTTATATGGCGAACGGCTTTCCTCGAAGATTCGGAATTCTTTGCCTGCAGACTTATTTCCTGACCGGTATAACTTGGGCCAGCACAGGGTGGGAGTGAATAGGTATTGTTTTGGTGCGCATGCTTCATCGTCACTCTCTATCGGGTGAGATGGAAGCCAAATGCGCAGTTATTTTATTACTAAAAAAAATGTGTGTGCATACTCCATCGTCGATCTTATCATTATTTTTCATCACACTTGCACGTAAATAGTATGATTGCATGCAGGCTAACTTGACTGTAATGCCCTAAATAAAACACTCGGTCGGAAACTTCTAATAGAGCCTCGTTCGTAATACCTTCTTTACTGGCCTTAATTTACAATGTAGGTACTATTCTATCAGGTGAAATGGAAGTTGGATGCGCATGTCTTTTGTATGTTTACGTATTTTTTTTACACCTTGTATTACTGTCAATAGCTGATTTTCTAATTTTATATATAAAAATTACTCATATCCAAAAGGGCCGTTTACTTATATACGGCCCAGAATAGGCTAGAGTTAATAGGCAGGCATTGACTATGCTTTCCGGCTTACTATTTAACAATTTCAAGTGTAACAGACAAAGACAGAATGTCGGTGCCAGCAAGCTACATGGTTAACCTTTAGAGCAGCCCTAGCAGACACTAGCTACGCGACACAGGTCCATGATGTCATGTGTTTGCACGTGACAATGTGGCTGATGCTTTTTTGTTGTTTCCAGTTCCGCCTCTAATGGAACTGTTAACGATGCTCTTTTGTTTATTGCGTATCTACAAATTGGCTCCTTGAGCAGGGACTTTAAAGTCAAGGATATATACGAGAAGCCGATACGTAGTATTTTGTTTTTGTGTTACATAGACACTTATAGAAAATGTTATTGAATGTGTAGCAAAATCTATCGTTTAGTGTACTCGTATATTAATTATTCTCGTCCGTGGAGTATTTAACATTCGGAAACTGGAATCTAAGGGTCGTATTCTAGAACTCTACTCAATGTTCAAGTCAGTATTTGAGTATGGTTTAAAGCACTCGAAATCATACTCAAGTCCCTGCCATTAGGGTCGTATTTCCAGTGTTTGAAATACTAGAGAAGCAATACTTAGTATAAAATACTTAACGTAACAAACCTTTTGAACGACCATATTGCAACAAAGAGACAAACATTCTATGCCTTGCAAAGTCAACACATGAAAGTAATTGAAAAAATTATCGACCGTTTTTTTTGTTACAGAGCAATAAGCCTATAATGGAGAAGCGACGGCGCGCGCGCATCAACAATTGCCTCAACGAGCTCAAGGCGCTAATCCTTGACGCTATGAAGAAAGACGTAAGTGCTACAAAAAAATCTGTATCTCAATTGGACTTGTTTTATTACATTATGTGTCAGTATAGACATGATTTTGAAATAGCAACATCATTAAAACAATAAGTCAACACATAGTAATGCAAAATCTGCTTGAGTTGGTCACAAAAAGCTTTATGTCCATGCCACTTATGTTAAACGCACGACGTCTTTTCTGCTCTTATTGTAGAGGTAAAGCGAGCTTAGTGCGATTCCTTATCGACAAGTGTGATGATTACCTAATTGTATAGTATTTAACTGTAGTGCGTCAATCGGGTATTGCTTAAAGATTTTAAACAAGAATGCTCACTTTTTTGTTATAATTTATAAAAATAAAGTCTTACCAATTTCTGCCGCCAAGCGGGAATGTGAGCATTGCTGCATTTAGGTTTTGACGGGTAGCATGTTCGCGCAGTGCATCCTATTCGTATTCGTTTCAAATGCGAGACTATATAAATCTAGAAAACTCGGACCTGCTTCGAATGTCGCTTCAGCACTAAATCCGATTCGAATGCGAGGAAATACAAATATCGCTTGTACCTAGAGATAAAATGATGTGACATTTTGAACCGTCATTTCTCAGAAACGCTCTAGGTGCTGGTGAAATTAAAGGCACACGGGTATTCTCAACTTATGGCTCAGGATGACGGGCAGCGCGCCTCAGATCTTTGCGATTTAAAGCTCTGAGTGGCATTCCAACTGTTATGGACATGCGTGTCGTTTACCACCAGGCGCACGACTTTGTCATATCGTCACTTTGTACTTATCATAAAAAAGAAAGTCTGCGAAATGGACAGTAAATTATATTTCATACTTTTGATACAGTATATTAGAAAATAAAACAACAAAAAAAAATAAAGACTATAAACAACTTTTTAACCGACTTCAAAAAAAGGCCAAGGTTCTCAATCCGACTGTATTTTTTTTGTGTGTATGTTACACGATTGCTCCGATATTTGTGAACGGATTTCGAGGATTATTTCTTTATTGGAAAGGGGGTACTTCAATAGTGGTCCCATTCAAATTTGAAGAAAATATTCCACTTCCAAGAGTGCAAATTAGGGGATTAAAATTTATTGGATTTCACCCACTTTCCGTTAACAGATTTCAACAAAACTTGGCAAATAGATGTAACTCCACAAACTTTTGAGGTTGTTTTTTTTTTTGTAAAAAAAAGTAGTAATTATTAAGGTGTAAGATCCTACAACAGTTTTTCCTATTGCAGCCGGCTCGCCACTCGAAACTCGAAAAAGCTGACATACTAGAAATGACGGTGAAACACCTAGAAGGCCTAAGATCAGAAAGCGCTGGGTCTCCTGACCGTTTTCGAGCTGGGTACCGACATTGCGTATCGGAAGTTTCCAAGTATCAAGGATTAGAGGCTGGATTGAAAAGGCGATTGGTGAGACACCTAGAAGCCTGTGTGAATACGCAGGGAAGACCTGCCGGGGCACCTACGCCACCGTCCGATAATGAAGACGTACAGCCACCCAGTCAGCATTCGACTATCTTTATATCTGGTACGTATGTGTTAAGGATACGTTACGTGTGTGATATTATGTTTCTTTTACTATACTTACTTGTTAGGTACTGCATTTTGATACTTTTGGTCAGCACCTACCTAATGCTAAATGTATTACAAGAGGCGTTTTTGTTTTTTTTAAACTAAACATATTGTTTAAAAGTTTCTGTATATTGTTTTTGGGATAGTCCAGTAATTGACGTAATAGCTAACGAAAGCTTATTTCCCAGCAGGTCCCGGTTCAGGAGTGCGTCTGGTCCCAACAAGGTTATCCAACGGCGACATTGCTCTTGTGCTGCCTGCTGGAGTTAATGCTAGCACGTTAGGAACAGTCCCCACGCTCGTCCCTCTTTCTCCTCGGGACGCATCCTCTTCTTCATCATCAGAACCTAGGTGTTATTCTCCTGCGAGTTCAGGGTGGGGCACCCCACCTCCACCTTCAGACGAGCCCGCCCCTCTCGCCTTAGTGACTAGAAAGCAACCACCAGAGGATAAACCCTGGAGGCCTTGGTGACGACTTCTCCATTCCTCTATAAGGAATCTGTGATATAGATTAATGTCGCTGTCTAATGCTAACAGAGTATTTGAAGTTCCTAGCGTAGTTATAAATTGTAAACAGGTATACATGGATATATAGGAGATGATGCGTGGTCAGTACATTTAAATGTGTGATATAAATATTATTAAGAGAAAGGTTTCCATTACGTTTAGGTGGAAAACACATATGCCATTCACCGTGTCCAGCAGCGGTAAACACTCAAGTATCAAGCAGGCAAACTGAATAATAACACAATAGTAATAATGTGCCAGACCTAGTCACTGACCAGTGATCAGACCACCCAAATCAGAATCAATTCAGAAAAGTTCATTTCCCAAATTGGTGATCCCGGGAATCAAACTCTAGACATCCTTATCCTGCGCCCACTTTGCATACTGTGGGCCATAAGGGTCCCCAATATCGTATTTCAAAGTCGAAAAAAAAAAAAAAAAAATATAAAATAGGCAAAATAATTTTACACGTAATTGAAAACGTAATTTTTCAACCTACTGCTCATTCACTGCGTTGACTTCCCTGAGAATAACGAGCAAGAAACTCTATGGGTTGCTCTTTTCAAATAATCTTAAATGCGACGCACTTTGAATCAAGGTGTGGAATCTAGAGCCATGTCGTCTTTCTATACATCTTTATCTAACAAGTAGTCTTCAATTTTGTAATATGTCTTTTCAATTAAATTACTTTAAATACATTTTATAATAGAAACCGGCAAAATCCGGCAAATCACAAGCAAACAAATACAATAAAACAGGTGGTTTTACAGTTAAGTGATGATTTCTTCCAGACAAACTTTTGGTAAGGAGAAGATGTATTGTTTGAGGTTATTTTATGTGTGTTTTCTGCCCTAGCTCTAAGTTACTTTTATGTAAGATTCATGTACATTTTACGTATGACATCTGAGGCAGTATTGTATACTATGTTTTGTAAATGGACAATGTCCAATAATTATTACAGTATATAATTGTAATGAAATAAATTATATTAATTTCTTTTAGGACTTAGTGCCATGTAGAGTTCATTTTAACTACCTAGAGTCACCATGTAACTTCCATTTAGATTTTCGCTTGTGTAAATATATAATTTGAAATTCATATTATAGGTAATGTATACTTGTTGTAATATGAAAGAAAGTATAAATAGAGATAAAGAATTCTTTGTGCCTTATACAGCAAAATCCTTAGTCTTCCTTTTAATTTTAAGAAGGTTTTAAGTTAGGTGAGGTTTTAAATGTTTGATGATATTATTTGAAGATGAATACAGTCTTTGTTTTAAGATAATCATTCGCATCTACTTACCTTATTTATTTTCTACCAAACAATAATATTTTTGTGTATATTACGAGTACTTAATATGTATTTCTGTAGTCACATATAGCCACGTTGTTTTTTTAAATATGTTTTTTTGTCCAGTCTTTGTGTAAAGAGAGAAATCTTTCGCATCAAATTACCTAATTTATTTTTTACGAAACAATGAATATTTTTGTGTATTTTGTGAGTACATAATATGTATTTCTGTAGTCATTTACATCCACGTTCCTTTTTTCAATTATTTCTTTTTTAAACATTCTTATGATAATAAAAATAAGCGAGCAACAGCTTTTGTTACCATTAAAACCAGAAGTCGCAGTCTTCCATAGCCAGTTACCATACTTGGACAGTAATTTTATCATTTATATTAAGTATATTTTACTTTTAATGTCCCATAAGTACAGAGTAATTAATTTTAACTATGTCACACGGATGGGCCTTGTGTGTAATTCATATTGTACAAAGTAAATATATATTCATATACTTTCACAAGTTTTTTCTAAATGTGTAATTAATTGCGTAAGTGCGCATCCTGTATCCATGTAATGCACTTTTGCAACTCATTTCATATTCATGTATAATAGTACTTATTACGCACATTTATCTAGCTTTTTTATTTATCTAGTTTTACATAATTTAATTTGCCGTCTATAAATAATGTCTAAGAAATATAAAGTGATATTAAACTAAGTGCGTGTAGTTATATTAAAAGAAATGCATTAATTTACATATGAAATAAATATGTACTTGAAAATAATTTACGTAGTTTGATTTTGTTCTACTAATGTACTAAACTGTCTGTTGTGGCAGTGTATTGGTTGTTACTTCGTCGAAAGTAGCACAAATGTTACGAAATTTAATGTAAATACTCATACAATCATACGTAAGTACTTTGAATTCTTCATAGGTGTCATAACTTTATGGAGCAACGTGGCCATTTAGTAACGCCCCTTAAATTAAGTTTAAAAAAAATAATTCGCATCATAGGTGTAATAAGGACACATCAGCTGGGGTTTATTTGCATAGGATATAGGGGCATTCACATTCATGTATGTGGGGAATATTCTTATTTTATTGAAATATTGCCATTGTTCTTATACTGTCGATATTTCTTTTATTTTAGGACTATATTGACCCTGAATAGTACGTCCCTACCTTGACTGCGCTATCCGTAGCTGCCTAGAGATCTTCCCTCGTACAGGTATTAGGACACAAAGGGCACAACAGGAAGTGCTGCACGGACTGTGTTGAGGCACCGCAGTCACATTGGGTTAGACTAGCATCCCTAATACCCCATTTACGCATCGTGTGTCCTACCTGAGCGCGAAGAATATTGCCATATCATCACGGCTCTTAAATTCATTCATTACTTACCTTTTTACAGATGTAACATTAATTCTTGAACCATATCACACCCTTGCAATAAAAGCCTATCTGAAATTACCACTTTTGAGGAGAAAGGCTAAAAGATTCTACAAACGAAATTAGTCGATTTTTTACGCTTAACTAGAAGTTGTACAATTTCACATATTACATGATTTATTTCATGTAGTTGGCATTGATTTTATGACTTTCGTGTGATAAGAGCACGTTTGACGATTTGGCTTTTGTCATACCAAAAGTACAATTCGTACCTTTGGTATGATAGCCTATTTGGTATGATAGTTATAGTCAATCAAAGTAACACGTATAACAATTAAATACAAATTACAGCCACATAGGACTTTCCAACTTATGTTTCAGGGTGACGGAGGCAGTGACAGTGTTCCTCAAATCTTTGCGATTCAAAGCTCTGAAGCAGCAGTCGCGTCTTTTACTACCAGACGCACGACTTGTTCATCCCGTTACCGAGTATCATGAAAAAAGCATACCCAACAATCAGAGACATGCCAATCAGATCCAAGGTCAGAGATACTTAGATCCAAGAGCAAAGAGAACAGGTTGATAACTTATACAATCTTATACGATGTAAATCGCTTATATTCTTTTTTTCTTAAAGTCGATCAGCTATGGGAACTGTAAAGGTCCCGTCGTTGGTTTGTTTGAAAAAACAAATCGCTCCCTTGGTGCCACAAGGCCATATCTGTAAATTGACGACATTGCAGGAGAGAGGTTTGTTGAGTCTGAGAACGGAATTAGTATAACTTTTCATGCTTAAATAGGACATATTTATGTACATAGACCCACATTTCATGTGGGTCGTATTATTTATATGGACTTATGGACGTAATATTTGGTCACATGTACCCTTATACCAAGGGTAAGAATAATACGCGATTTAGTTCCGAAAAAAGTAGTATAATTTCTAATGTGTAAAATTCGCGAAAACCTAAGAACGCGATAGGTATCTTATATGCAAGTATCCCAGCTCTCATCAACACTTTCCGTCAGGTGAGATTGAGATAAAACGGCCTTTCTGAAATAAAATTAATGTTCACTCACAAAAAAACGAATGGGAAGAAAAGTAGAAACGACCTTTAAACAATACTTATGGCTGGCTGCCTTTGGGATTTTTTCTGATAGTTGTTTTCTCGTAGTCGAGAAGGGAAAAAACAGTAAAGTCAATCAGGATCAAATAACACTATTTAAAATGGTAACAACATTTTCATCACGTGTTAAGGCAAGAAAATGCCATTCTAAAATTCTTGTCAATTAGTAATGAAATAAATTATTTTTACTGTAAGATTTAAATATGAATTTTTTTAAATAAAATCTTAAGGACTCCTAAATTTAACATTATGTCTTAATTCATTTATGTTCGCTTTGGTTCATTTTACAATAACTGTGAAATCAAACATGACAAACGCTAAAATTTTTATAATATTGCAAACGGCTCAAGATGCTAACGATGTGAATGGAAAGGATACAACTAACGAACACACAGTACGTTTGCTAAATCCACATTGGATATTTTACCTCCCAAATGAGCCTCGTTTTTTTCGTTCGTCAATTTAGATAATTATCTGCAAGGAATCTAATTCAGCTCCAGTGAAACAGGCACAGTGTAGCTTTCCACCAGCCACACGCCTTGCTCATCCCGTCACTCGATTTTTTTATTATAAAATAAAATCTTGCATGATATACTTTTTCTTTACCAGTTCGCCAAATGTAATAAAATAATAAAATATTTGAAGTTTACCATGACCTTTTCGGCGATGGAAAATATCCTGATGAAACCTGCACGTCGAAGAAGGTTCACAACCTTCGGAAAACGTGTAAAGTCCACCGCCTGCTTTCTACTTGACTATGGCCTACATCCTCTCTTGAGAAGAGTCCCGTGTCCAGCAGCGGGACGTATAAATGGGTCAATGATGATAAAATTGATAGAAAATCGTCAAACAGTCAATTAAACTGCAGGTAGACGACAAAGGCCTAAAATACCAAATTGGTGAAAAGAGAACTCAATTGGTATTTTAATTGCCGCCCTAAGGATAAGAGGGTTCATAAAGACATTAAAAGCACTGCGTTCGGGCGACTAATTGCACACTGTGAGTTTGTTGGTGGTCGCATTCATGATCTCATAGGCGCCAATTTAGAACTTATTGGTTTAGAAATAAGGCACAGTGATTTCAAATACAACTACTAAAGACAATATAAAACTACGAAGTAGGTACCATAAATTGATCATGGAGAATTTAAACTTTATGCTGTAGTAATAAGGTATTTGGTTAATAGCGCTCATCTGAAATTAAAAAAATAATTCAATCGATTAAAGAGCATAACATGAAAGGTATAAAGTTTAGATTCATTTGTTTGAGTTGAGCTACTCTGATACATATGGAATCTGCTTTTGTTGGTTTATTTGCTGCCTTGACATTAATATAGGGTTATTGGAAGAATTATTGCACCTGTCACGTCAATTTGGTAAAAATCAGAAGCCGGTTTATTAAAAGCAGCGACATAGGGATGTGCGTGTAGAATATTCACAAGTACAGATGCAGTGTGACTTTTGGTTTTTGTAAATACTTAACCAAAATAATATTTTAATTGTAACTATTGATTATTAATACAAAAATCGAACACACGAAAATATTCGCTGGCTGCACTCAAACCAGCGCCTTCACTATACCGTGACTGACGCACTCCCAACCTAACTTCGAAACGAACCAGCAGATCTCACGAATTTTTCTACATGCTTGCTGCAGAGCTTTGTTTTTAGTATTAACGACTTTTTGCCACACGCGCCATCTGTGAGAA